AGTTACTCATGAAAAAAACTTATTCTGAATATTCAAATATTCATCCAAAGACTTTTTAGCCTCCCCCCAACAAAATTAAAAGAATAGTCTGAGTCTATCAAAATCCAACTCCATCTATGTCACTCCTATTCTTTCTTTGTTATGAATGAGGAAAGCATTCACCTTAAACTGCAACCTTAATACAAGAAGATCTTATTTATAAATTGCATTACTATAAAACAAATTTTTATATCTTGGCAAAAATACTGTTTTAATAAAATACAAATCCTTTTACTTAGTTTGCACTAATAATATATTGTTTGAAATTTTTTTAATTCTCTAACTCCCCGCAAAACATACTCAAAACTGCATTTTTATGAGAAATTCAAAATGAGTGAAGAGACAATTAACAGGAAATACTTTTTTCAAGACAATTTAAATAACTCAAAGGAGTTCCTTGTAATCCCATTGACTCTGGAGGCTTAGGCAGGAGGATCACAAGTTCAAAGCCAGCTCAGTAACTTTGTGAGACCTTAAGCAACTTAGTAAGACTCTGTTGTAAATAAAAAATAGAAAGAGTTGAGGATGTGGCTCAGTGGCTAAGTGCCCCTGGATTCAATCCCTGGTACCAAAACAAAACAAAACAAAAACTCCTAATCTTTCCTCAGGACTTTTTGACAGACAAGGACTGGGACCTCAGGGGCTTGCTGACCCTTCTGATGTGACCAGCTTCAGTAAATGGAAATGGTCTAATCCTAAACAAAATGCAGTCACATGAGCAATTGGAATACTCATTCATTGTCATACAATACCATGGTCATGAACCATAGGAACATGTGTCTAGTTCTTATTTGTTTTATGTTCTTTCTACCAGGGGCTGTTGTAGGAGTACAAGTTTTCAGTTTTTAAGTTCTATTTTATTTTCTGATACACCTAAGTTATTAAGATGTTTCAGAACAGTAAAGTTAAGGTTGTGTCTGTAATAAGTGAATAATGAATTTAGTCTAATATTTATATTTCTTTAATTATTTTGCCTTACTGGTTAATATTTACTAGACTTTGTGTGTGCGCCAGAACTTGTTCTAAGTCCTTTGAACATATTAATTTATTTAGCCCTCATTTGAACAATTAATTCTATAAGTCAAATGCCATTTATTACTTCCACTTAATAGATGTCGAAACTCAGTGTTTTGGAAGCTCTCTAAGTCACACTCGAGCCACTATGCTATGTTGCCTTACATAGCAAGCTTTTAAACCTAAAGTGATTGTTAATAAAAAGGAAGGATGGATGAAATAATTCTATTTAGCAGCTGATTCTATTTGAAATAAAAGAAATGACACTTTTATAACACTATGTCCCAAGCCTGTTATAAGCACTTTACAGAGAAATACATTCATTTAATCTGCATCCAGTCCTGTGGTGTACCATTCCTATTCTTATTGTATGGAAAGGAAAACTGAGATACAGAGAGGACAAGTAACATGCCCCTGATCATCCCTGAACATGATAGAAATGGGGGGGGGGGGGTTGTTGCCAGTTTCCATGATTATTTCAGCATCTGAGGCCTGCCACTGCTTGTTGCCTCTGAATCATACTACATGTGGTTGTAAGTACAAGGTGGGGGATTCTAAGTTCCCTCCAAATATGCCCTTTGATTGATTAGGTCCAAAAAGTCTGCCAAGTCACTTAGGAAAAAAAAACAAAAAAAGTCTTTTGTTGGTCTAAAGACTAAAACACAAACACCAACTTTACCTCTTACTGTAATTCTACCATTGCTCTGCATATGTCTAAAAATTGTTCCGGAAAGGAATTCAGTGGAAATCCAAGGAGGTATGAAGTATTTCAGTCATCTATAAAAATGCTAATTTCATCTCAGCATTTGCCAGCATGTTCATACAATGGTCAAAACTCTCAAAATCCTAGCTCCCTTTACCAGTTGTGTAATTATGGGTAAATACTCCATCCCTCTGACCTCAATATCTTTCTCTGTAAAGTGGGGATAATACCAATCCTACTTCAATAAAGTTGTTATGAGGATTAACTGATATAATATATGTCAAGCTGGTAGAACAGTATTTAGATCACAGTAAATATTGAATAACAATTAGCTCTATTATTGCAAAAGATTTTTGCTCCTATGCAAGTTAATACTGTGAATTTTCACAGTTATCATTGGAAAGGATTCCTCCTAAAGTCTGAGGAAATCCCAGGTGTCTCTCAAAATTTGTAGAATTGAATTTATCTTCAGGCAACAACAACAAAAAAATCTGGTGGGGGAAAAAAAACTGGTTAAACTGCACAATGGTTAAGATAGATATGACTTGGGGCTGAGGCTGTGGCTCAGTGGCAGAGCGCTCACCTAGCACCGGTGAGGCACTGGGTTTGATCCTTAGCACTGCATACAAAAATAAGCAAATAAAATAAATGTATGCTATCCCTCTACAGCCCCCCCCCAATTTTTTTAAAAAGATAAAAATGATTTGATTTTAAAGTCATTTCACTTGCTGAAGATATTTAATTTCAGAAAGCACTCAGATGTGTGAGATCAACAGAAGCCACACGTTTAGTCTGAATTTTCTAACGTTTGTAAGGGATAAACAATAAATCTTATTCTTCTCACCCCTGTTTAGTTAAGCTAAGAAATGATGGCCTTATTATTTGATAAATATCATTATAATGTATTTTCTGAGGACTGGATTAGAATTGTAGAACATCGGAACCCATTTTTCCTTTTAAATAACACACTTTCAGTACAATGGAGAAAACATAGTGAAATTTGGCTTTTGTTTGTTTGTTTGGGGAAGTGGGTCAATACAATTGGAACTGTTGAAATTTAACCCTACCTGAAGGTCTTGTTATTCTTGCTTGTCACTCTGGTTAGTGTAAACTCACTTTGTGCCATAGAGAGCTCAATAAATTAACCCAGAGCCTTTAAGTGAGTTATTAACCTAATGCAGATCCAAATTGGTAACAAATTAGATTTAAAAAAAAAAATCATTACAGACTGTTACATAAGTGGAAGTTTATGAAGAATTATATTCACTCTTCGCTAAGTCTTGTGCACAAATATGATACGATTGTATCCAGGATAAAACCAATACTCTGAATTTAAGTAAAGCTTTTAGAGCTGAAGGGGATCATAGAGATTATATTATCCTCCAGGGCCCAGAGGGATTAAGTGATTTGTTTAAGATTATTGGAGAATGAGTGGCTATTCCAGATTTCAATGAAGTCCAATCTCATTATTCTACAGCATGCATTCAGACAATGTATTATAACAGTAGTAATGGTTTCAAAAGCCACCATTTCTTGCATACATACTCTGGGCCAGTAGTCTACTAGGCTCTTCATGTATAATCCCTCTCCTGCCTTGTTATCTCCTCCCCAAAGCTCTAAAAGGTATGTCAAGTTGTTCTCATTTTACAGATCAGATGCTGAAGACCCAGCATCTGTGCCATGTTAAAAAAAAAATTGCAAATGCCAAGAGCTGGGATCCACTATCAATCCTGAATATGCAATATTTCTGCAGGACCAGCTGCTTTCTGCACCAAAACCAACATGACCACATCTTATACTGGTTTTCCTTTGAAATCAGTATTTTAGGCTTCTGCAGAAAGAGTCTCCTGTGTGTAAAGAACTTGTATCTGAATGGCCAAAAAGAAAGCAATTCCCAAACCCCTCAGGTAACACTCAAAGGAAGAGGCAATGGAATTGTAATTATTTGTCTTTCCTGTTCTTGAACATTAACTGGTTGACTTTTAATAACACCAAATGTAAATAATCTGTTTAGTACTGAAACACTATCTTTTTGCCTATGTGGGTCATGGGTTCAAGACCAAAAACTAAAAAACAAAATCAAATGATGAAATCCAAGAAAATGGGAAGGGAATACAGAACCTGGTCCTCTATAAATTAATACTTTGAGGTTAACTTAAAGTATCATAGAAAAATGCTATTTATTCATTGGTTCATTCTACTCAAGAGAGGAACTCCCAACTGTTTAGTACTGTCCTATGTTTTTAAAAGTTAAAAATATACCAGAAAACTATTATGATGTCCTCATACTTTCACTCATATTTGGGGTGAAGATAACTACAGTCAAAGTAGCAATGTCATAGCAAATTATTTTAGATTCATCAGATAAACTGTTAAATGTTTACTGTGAAGCAGTATTAGTTCCAAGGGAAAATGAAGCGATCTTATGTTTAACTGTTTGTTTGGAAACTTCTTTTATTAAAAAAAAGACTTTAAATATTGACGCTATTTTCAATACAGGAGTGATAATACTCAATAAAGCATGGTGTACTTGATATTGTGACCTCACAGTCCATCTAACTTCTGGATCACTCTAGTCTCTGCAACATACCCTAGTATAAAAATGCAAATACCCTTTTTAAAAAATAAAGAGGCCTTTTGGACAGTTGCATGAGCAGAGTGGGAAGGGGCTAAGAGAGTGCTCTTTCCTGAATTACTTATACTTTGGGCTTTGAATTCATTTAGAAAGATCAATTCTAAGAAAACTGAAACAAATCAACCCTTCAAAGCTCCACAAAGAGAGGGGGGCAGGAAGCTTGTCATTCACAAGCAGCAATCCACAAAACCAGCCCCAAAATACAAGGGTTAGGGAAATTAGGGGTCAAAACAAACAAACAAAAAACAAAAACTGGAGTAAAGTGCACAGTTACTGTAAAAAATATATTATCTTGATCCTAAGAAAATTAAGAGAATTTTATCTAATGAACTAGATTGCTGACCTTTTAATACATTTGGTTTTCATGAAACATACAATCACCATCGGACATAAAAAGACTAGTTAGCTTTTTAAAAAAAAAAATTGCTTGGAGTTATCTACAAGAATCTTGTGAATGCAATTCAAGAATAACATTCTGTAGCTCTTTGGATATTGGATGATTTCCTCAGACCAGTCCACAAAGGAATTGGGGAGCTGTTAATGCACTAATCCAAATGAGTATTTCTTCCATCTTCTCTCTCCTTTCCCCCCTGTGGCTCCTCTTTCCCCCTAAATGCCAGTGCTTTCCAGCTCTCCATCTTCAACGCCTGTGGCATGAGACTGGGAAATCATGAAGAGTTTCTCCTTGTTTGTAAACTGCCTCTGCACCTGCTGAGGTTGCTCGGCCGCGGGTTGCTCCTCGCTGGGACTCTCTGAGGGACACTGCTCCGCACTCAAAACGGTGGCATCTTCACAGTCTTGCCTTTTACTGGCTACTACTTCCACCACCGACTCCAAGGAGGTGCCGGTCTCCTGCAGGGGAGTGTAGCCCTTATTGCTGCTCGATAGGTCATCTGATTGGGAGCTCCCCGAGTCCCGCCTGGCACGGGACGAGTCCTCCTGTAGCAGGGGAGGCGAGGGGATGGCGGTTGTGTCCTGAAGGCTGGAGTCCAGGTCCGCACCGCGCGGGGAGGGCGGGGGCTCGGGGGACGGCGGGGCCCGGTAGTCCGGGAGCCCGCTGGTGCTGCGGCGCCTCAAGGCCGCGTACCTGCCGGTCCTGGGCAGACGTCCTCCCTGCCCACTGGCGGTGTGCGCTGCCGCCGCTCCCCCGGGCTCATCCAGCTCCCCAAGCGCCCAGTGCGCGCCACCCTCCGCGCCGCGAAGGTCGGTCAAACTCAGTTCAACCTTGCCCCGTGGGATTTCCTGGGAGCCGCGTTCCCCGGGTGGCCTCTGCCAACTGCAGCTAGCGCCCTCCGCTTCCCCGTCTCTGTCGCGGTCCCCTTGTAAGGGCAGCAGCGCAAAGGCGCTCAGCGAGGAGCCCACGAGGGAGCTGGCGGTGCTCTGGCGCCCCCAACTCTCGGGTGGGCTGCAGGGCGCCGGGCTGCTGCTGCCGCTGGCGGCCGCGGTGGTAGTGGCGGCTGCGGTAGCCACAGCGGTGGTGGCCCGGCGACGGCCCGCTACTCCGGAGCGCTCGCGGTAGATACTGTACACGGCTTCTGCCAGGCTTGGGGGCTCTCTCAGGCAGCGCGGGGATGAGGCCAAGTCGGGTGGGGACGCCGCGCCCCGGGCCCTTCCGCCGCCCCCGCCCAGTGCCGCGGGGTGGGGCCAGGAGCCCCTGGCCAGCATCGCTGCCGCCCCGAAGGTGTCCCCAGAACCTCCATAACCCCCGGGCTTCAGCTCCAGTCCCCGCGACTGCACGTAGCTCAGGAAGCCGTTGAGCGGTACAGTCCCAGGGGGCGCCGAGGTGGGAGCCGAGGACGATGAGGAGGCAGCAGCGGCTGCAGCCGCTGCTGCAGCTGCAGCCAGGTCTTTGGCGCGAAGGCTGTGCACGTCGATGACGGTGGAATAGAGATCACGTAGGTTGATGATCTTGGTCTTCTTGTCTCGGTTTTCGTGCAGCACCGCGTTGGCGCAGATGAAGAGGAAGATGCCAATGCCCATAATGAGCGGCCCAAAGACCTTAAGCTTGTCTGAGTGCAGGTAACCCGAAAAGATGCGGAAAAAGAAGCCCACCGACGTGGAAGAGGATGAGGGAGGGGCGGCTGACCGCGCTGGAGGCGTGCTTCTGGGCACGCCCACGGAACTGGAGTTGACACCCTCTGGAGTCCCATGGTGACTCCTGGACGAGTTCTTGCTGCCACTGCTGCTGTTGGCGGTGGTGGTTAGGACGCGGTTGGCACTGCCCGCAGCCAGCAGCTGCTTACTGCCCTCCCTATTGGCCGTGTTGGTCTTTGGCCAGTAGCCCACCACAGCCATAGCTATGCCCACCAGTAGCACGAGGATCCCGCAGAGGGCGATAAGGCCGGAAATGGAGCAGAGCTTCAGCTTGCCTTTCACCACCACCACGTCATTCTTGCGCCTCTTCTTGGTTTTCCTCTTGCGCTTAGGGACCTGGCTTGGGGGGCGGAGGGGATCCTGCTTTCTGGCGGAAATCCTCAGAAGGCCTCCGGTGGCGATCATGGCGAACTCGTGGAGATAGGGGCTTGCCTGTGGGGCTGGGGCAGATGCTTGTGCAGAGGGGGCGCCAGCTGTCCACTAGCTGCTTCGCCACCTCCTCCTGCTGCAAAGCAGAGGAAGACAGTCAGAGGGTGTAGGCTTGACTGCAGCAACATCCCACGTGCTGCAATTGCCCCACTCCAGGATCCCGGATCCCATGTCATATGTGACCACCACCCACACTCCTGAACCTTTACCCACTAGTCCAAGCGCCCAGTACAGAGACCAAAAGTGGGTAGATATAAGTGAAGAGAAGCACTGTTGCCATAACTGACAGGTGGTGATGAAATAATTTTTGAGAAGTTTTCTCCTTCCGTCCCCATCCCATCCCCCACACATAGGTAATCCACCAATGTTCATTTCAAACCCTCTTGGCTGGCAATCAATGAGGTGCCAATAATTGATACTCAGTTTGGGGACTTGAGGACTCTCATGGCAAGAGCCTTTCTCTTCCTTTGTCCCACTGGACTCAGAAGATTTCCCAAGGGAGGGGCCACAGAAGTGGCAAGTCTTCAGGCAAGCCCAGGAGTCTCTCAATGTGGAGCCTAAAGTTACTGAAATAGTCATGAAAGTTACTATTGTATGGAGGTGCAAAGAATTCATTTCACGGATGAAAATGAAAGGCTTCATACACTGGCAGGAAGACAGTTTATTTCCTCCAGATAATTAACAGAATTCATTGCTAAGAAAATACCAGACATATTTCAGTACTGTGACAATAAGTCCCTTCACAAAGTTTGCTCTCACCTATTCTTGTTCCTACAGCTAAAGGCAAGCAGATCCCTCTCAAGCCTTCTCATCTTTACTCTGCAACATCTGAACAGCTTCTTGGGGTGGAATATTTAGTTTTAGGTAATGGTTATGTAACTGAGCTCTTCCTTCTGGCCTTCTCTCCTCCCCTCAGAGGGACTTCCTTAAAGGTATCTTGTGCTAATTTCATCAGGGAATTCCAGAAGTCCACTGGAATCTCCAAGAAAAAAATCTTTTCCTCATGTAGGAAAATTACAATCTTAAAAAAAAATAAAACTGCCACAATAGCTTTCTGACCCCTTATTAATATGCCAAGAGCAGTCTACAGAATCCCAGCATTCAAATGAGTAGGCAATTAACTAGGTGAAGCAGTCTACATAATAATGATGATTTATAGGATGGCATTTCCCCAAGTGAGAGCTGTTTTCTTCATCCTTTTCTCATGAGGTCATTTAATGGGAAGGGATAGTAGCAATAATCAATGGATTATCCTGAGGAAGTTTATTTAGTTGTTTGTAATAGAGTCTGAGTAAAAAAAAAAAAAATCACAGAGGCCTATCTGTAGTTATCTGTCAGCTTCTTAAAATTCCAGGCTTTCTGAATCCTCAGAGTATAACATTTTCTGTCCTATTGGTTGTGTTATCTCCTATAGTAGAGATGCTCAAATTAAGGACATTGCATGAATCTGAAAGATGTAGGTATCTTTCACAAGTCTTTTGGTATTTTAGCCCTTTTAAGATAAATCATGTTTTAGAATAAATTACCCTTTGCAAATGTAGGGTTACTTAGGCAAATTTTTGCTTTTAATTGTTGCTTGGGTGAAAAGCCTTGGCCCCTAATTCCTTTCATTGTATCAATATAGGCAGGATCTTTTCTCCATGTAGGAAAGCAGATGATAATCAGCTCTTTAGAATGTTTGCAAATCAATACCTCTTTGGAATTTAGTTAAGGTTCAGTAAAAAGAAACACTAGGTAGGTTAAGGAAGGGTCAGTAGAAAGAACATATCTGCAAGCCTTTAGAATTTTTTTTCTTTAAAGGAGCTGTACCAATAAGTACAAACATTGTGTATGTACCTGTATGTAAAGGATGGAAGGACACTACCACCCATAATAACATTTTTTTATGTACTTGCAACTTAGAGGCTGCTACTTTAACTGGCCCTTGGACTCCAGGATCTTTAATAATCTGGAGGTCTGAGGTTATCTCCAAGAAGGCTTTAAGGACAAGACATTGTAGAAGCAAATCCAGACTCAGTCTGTAGGGTGGCTCTCCCAGGAGAGAAGGGCTTATGTTTTGTTTAGGCATTGATAAGGTGTACCAGGATGTTGACTGTCTTGGGGGAGGAAGGCATCCACATGTATTTCTCCTCGGAAAGGCGGCTTTGGCTGGCATAGGATGTGGGGAAGATTGGGATGGATTTCAACAATCGTTTACAGAAGATCTTTAGAATTAGTTTAATAGCTAGCAATTAGTTCCCTAGTTTATTATTCCTCCAGCTCTGTTGAAAGCTTAACTCCTTTCCAATGTATCACCATCTGACGAAATACTGACAAAGGTCAGGACCCATGGAAGACCCACCTTTGAGGTTTTTCCTTTAGACTTAATGCAAGAAAGCAAACTTAGCAGTGGAGATTGTCTGCCCTCGCAAATGACTTGCCTGGCGCTGGTCTTTCCGTGGCTAAGGAATGGAGGATGGGGGGGAAGAAAAGGAGTGATGTCTAAAAATACAACTGCTTCCAAGAGAGACATTCAAGTTCTCCGCTCATGATGGATTAAGCCCCACTCCGCGACTGAGGCTCAGAGCCCGCAGGCTTGCGAGCGCCATGCTGTGCCAGGCACCCAACCCAAGTCCTCAACCCCCAGCCCCTCCCGGGCAGGGCAGCGCGCCCCTCGCCCTTCTCTTTGGTCTGCTTATTTCTGTTGGAGTCACATGAGTGCAGCAGCTGCGAGTCCGCTTCTGGAAAGAAGACAGGCAGGAGCAAAGTGAAGGCAATCCTGAACTCGCTGTTTCTGGGCAGCGCATCCCCGGTAGCCCGCCCAGGGAAATTTCTCTCCCAGAACATCAGAAGGGAAAATCGGGGCTTGGGGACCGGAGGTTTGGGGAGGGGCAGCTCCGGGGCTGGGGACTGACAGAAGTGCTCAAAATGGCAGCACTAGACGCAAACAATATCGCTCACTTACCCAGGGAGACCGGGGAAGCTCGGGACCGGCGAACGGGCGCTCGGGCGACACAAAGGAACCATGGAGAAACTTTTTCAGCCCGAGCCGACGGCGGGGCGCAGGGACAGCGCCTCGGGGCCCTCCACGAGAGCGCTGCTCAGCAGCCCAGCCCGGACGAGCGTCCGCCCTGGGCTCGCAGCCCCCTCCGGCGCTGTGGCGGGAGCCATTTCCAAGAGTTTCCAAGAAGTGTCAGGTCCTCCGCATCCTGCATCCTGCCTCGGAGCCCTTCTGCCCTCCGGCGCTCCTCCTCAGTTCTTGGTGTCCCCTCCCGGGGCGCCCCCGAGCGGGCCGCTGCAGCCGCGCGGTCCCCGGCCCTTGAGCTTCTTTTGTGTGGCTGCGGCGCGCCGGGCTCCGCCGGGTGGAGTTGAGCCCGCGGCGGCGGCTCCGGGCGGCCGGACTGGCGGCTGTTGCTAAGAGACCGGAGCCATGACACAGGGAAATTGCGGCAGGGTGGCAGTCGGTACCCGGCCCGACTCCGTGGCTCAGGGGCTCACCCGCCCCCCGCCCCGCCCCCCCCCCCCCCCCCGCCCCCCCCCCCCCCCCCGCGGCCTTCCCCCGCTCCCGCACTTCCTCTGCAGCCGGCCTCCCGTCCCTTCGGAAGCAGAGTCCCCCGACGAGGGGCCAGAGGGGAGGCGGGAGGAGGCACCGGCGCCAGGCGCTCGGACCGCAGAGTCGGGGCGCCAGCGCGCAGGGCAGGGCGCGGGGTGTCTCGGCCTTCCCCGCCGCCGGGGCGCCCCGGGACCGCCGCCTTCCTTCGCAGGCACCTTTGTTCTTTCTCTCCCAACTACCTGTCTGAGCAGCGGGCCGGAGAGGGCCCCAAGAAAGATCCGCCCCTCCCGGAGAGTCCCCCCATCTGCATCGGAGGGGCGCTCTCGGGGAGCCGGGGGCTCGTGTCCCAGTCTCTCTTTCTCTCCCTGCCTCCCGCACCTCTTCTCTCTCCTCTTTTGTTGCCTCTACTCCTCGTCGCGACACTGCCTTGGCTGCTTTTCCCCCTCCCACTTGGGAGTTTGCAGCGTGGACGGCCGGTGAACACCGTAAGTTGTCCCCTGGCGAACTCAGCCCCGGTGGAGTGGAGCGGCCCCCGCAGAGCAGGGCGCACCGCTGACTCTGGAAGCCTCTGTGTGATGTTATCGCGCTTCAGCTCAGCTGGGCTTTGTGACCGGCCTTGTGGGGACCACGGCTGCTCCCCCGGACTCGGGCAGCTGGGGCTGATCGGAGATTAGAATCTGCTCAGAGGTTCTTCCTTGGGTAGCCCCTGCTGCTCTACTATATGTGGTAATCAGCAAGCATTAAAAGGAAAACTATAATTCTCCAGGAATCAGGCATCAAAGAGGGGAGATGGGGGTAGGGAGGATGTCCAAACTCCCTACGTCATTTGAAAAAAAAGGGGAGAGAGAGGAATCCTGATTCCTAGCTCATCCCTCTCCTCTTAACTCTAAAGTAAAAATGACAGGAGAAAGAGAATTTCCAAGTGGAATTTCCCCACGGAGTATTGAGAAAGTAAGAAAGATTTCAATTATCTATTGAAATGAGGCAGCCAGGACTCTGGAAAGAGAGGCACAGAAGAGCAGATAAAGCAAGTGCTGTCTGGCATTTGGGATCCAGACAAATATTTTGGCGGTGGAGATGGTGGGTGGGCATTATATATCCTGTTTTTCTGTTTTAGGGGTTCATAAAAACCCACTCAGGAGAGCTTTGCCACCCGAATTCCTAATTACAAGATTGATCTCAATGTACACAGCATCCACTTGTTTAAGCCTAGAGCAATACGTTTCAAAAAGAACAATAAAGACACAAAATGCATAGATTTGATGATAGAAATGTGTATCATGATATATGAGGCTACAGTGGAGATGGGAAAGGATGGAGGAAAAATCTGTCCTGAAGGTAATCCTGCACCTGCCTATTTAAAAGGTGTCCTCTGTCATCCTTTTCATAAAATTGTGGATCTAGATTATGAACAGTGTTCAGAACCCACCTCCTTCTACTTGAC